CTCCCCCCCCCCCCCCCCCCCCTCCTCCCACATAGCTGGACCTTTCGAACCTCAGCGAGATGCCTCCAACTGCAGCCAGCACCTGTACTGTGTAAGTACGGCACGTGTTCGAAATCCGTCCGAGTAGCCCTTCCACGGATACTATTCGAGGTAATGCGTGCGCTCGTTGGGCACCAAAAAAGTAAGCAATATGCCCCGATTTTAGGTTTTCTCGTAATGTTAGCCTCCATGCTATATACATGCCGAGAAATGCCACTGGTTGCTTCAGTGTGGAAAGCTTTAAGGAATCGAACGAATTTTGCACAATCTCCGAATCCTTCGAATCGTGACATTGGCTTGCCAGCCGTAGCGTCTTAGCGCACTCAGGGGAACTTTTAGAGGATGCGTGATGGACTATTTTTTGCCGGTTTCTCGGATATTTCGCAACGTGAGCTTTGTACGCGACGTGTTCTACTGCCAGGCATCAAATAGTAGAGTAAGATTGGAATTAGGTGTCATATATAAAAGACATTTTACGATGCAGTCTGTGTTTCATCCCTTAGCTGTAAACACAGGCCGGACTATCATGTGAGTAAGAGTGGGAATCGTCAGTACAGCCTCCTATCCACCATGAATAATTTGCAAGAAGTGAAAGAAAAAGAGAGAGAGAGAATTAAAATCACTATATAACATTCTACAATTCCGTTTCCCAACTCCATTTATTAACTTCAAGCAACATCTCAGCTCTTTTCCAGACAATACTCGCGTCCTACCCCCCTTCCCCGCCCCCTTTCCCTTCTTTTATCACTCCTTGAAATCAAAGCCAACACCTCTCGTCCATCTCCTCCCTCGCACCCTTCTTCCCCGGGCATTGCAACTCGTCCCCCAGCCCATCCGGACCGATCGAAGCCGACTTTTAGCGTCTGTCAAGATGCGTAGGGTGGAGTGGTACTTATGTCCCACGTTGAGAGTCGGTGATTCTTTGGTGTTTTATTGCTTCCGCTACACTAGAAAAATGTATAGTTTAAAACATAGGACATATTTACCGTTCATTTCAAAAGACTTAATGAACCGAAACATTTCTTACCATTAAATTAATTCTTATATTATTTACAAATCTTTTTGTAATTCTCATCTGCTACCTTTTTAATACTCTTCCTCTTCTTTCATCCGTTGTTAATGCATCCTATTTCTTCTATTCTATTATTTTGATGGTTGATGAGCTATGGAGTGCTGTTGTCGTGCAGTAATAGGTCGTAGATTCGATATCATCTTTTAATCTTATTGATTATAATAACGAAACAAACAGAATTCTTTAATAAAAATGTGTGATGTACAATTCATAAAACACATTTGTGGTAATAAAAATATAAATTGGATGATGATCGAAATGGATTCAAGGTCGATCTTTTTCCGGAGCAGGTTGCTTCACGGTGGTGCTCGGCTTACGTCGATTGTAGTAAAAGCACTGAACGGCCACCGCACTATCAGCAAAACAGACGCCCAAACTGCCCACCAGCCATGGCATATGATGCAACACATAGTGCCAGCCTGTTGATTCAAGCAGTACCTAAAATTGAGAAATTTAATGGCCTGGCGGATCACTCATTCGTGTGAGAAATAACATCTGCAGTTCCCATAAACGAACGATTATCAAAACTCGGCTCGGCTGCGAGTTTCGCATCTTCTACTTCAACTTATAAATGCATTCGCTTTTGAGTATGGGAGCGATCCGTAGGATTGGTAGTCCTGCATGGTTGTTGGGGTTTTTTTTTTGTCCAAGTGAGGTTTTTCCCCTTGCCCCTTTCCCTTAGTACCTCCTCTAATTTCTTTCTTCGAATAAGGCCTCCTTTCACGCCCGCTCCAATTTACTTCTTCGAAGATCTCGCCTTCTTAACTCAGCACCGCAACTGGATCTTGTCAGCAAAATGTCTGTGGCATGGAAGAGAAAGAAACGAGCGAGGGGAAGAAAAGGTGGTGGTCTGGGGGAAGAAGAAGGAATAATTGACAATAATGGTAAAATAACGAGCGGTCTCTCCGACAAAAGCATTTGGCAAAAAGCCTTGCGGTTGAAAATGCTAATAATCCCCTGAGAGGGCAAAACAAATTTTGAAGACTGCCACTGCTAGGCAGTAGAACACTGGTCGAAGCAAATGGAAAAGTTACCAGCTGCATAGGTGGAAAACCAGTCTAAGGGCTGCGACTGATCCGGCTATTAAAGTAATAAGTGCATGGAAGATTTTTTAAAAACAATAAGTGGAGTGGTGCATTTTGAATGTTAAAACTAGAGGCTTGATTCCTTCCCAGTCCACGCTGATCTCCAAATAAGGTTTTGTCCACGAAATTTTGTCCGAAAGTGAAGGGAAAGATGACATTCCAAGCATTCCCCAAACAAATCGGAGATGTGCACGTAAGCGAATACAAACTAGCGATATGGAGCTGTTGCTTCTAAAATTGACATAGATGCCCCGGGGCGTTCAGTCGTTCTTTGATAACACACTGTTAGATTGGCGTCGACCATTCCGGCTCTGTTGGCATTGGTTTTTCTTGTTTAAACATTGGCTGAGCGATCTTTGATTGAGAAAGACAGATAAAAGTACTGACAAAGTTAAAAATACTTTGCTGAACAAAACAAATACTCAAAGAGCGATCATGGAAATTGCAACAGGATGCGGAAGTGGCGATGTTTTGACGAGGCAATCCGTGGCTTTGACGAGACCCAAATTTAGACCTAGAGAAGCAAAACCGAGCATACGAGACGGCTGTCTGGACTGGCCTGCAGAGGCTGCCTGTGGAATTTTGCAAATTATTATAATTTGTGAAACTTACCGATATACCGTATGTTAGATTCCCGGCTATCATTATGTAAAATGTGTAATGTGATAGGCCTGAAACAGTGTTGCCTCTATTTCTAATAAAAATGCTGTTGCAAAATAACTAACAGTGGCAAGCAGCATTATTCTCAAGCCAAAGGCCATTGGGCTTCACTGCACCCGTGTAACATCCGGTCTCTCTAAGATTCTTTTCAGTGGTAAATGTCAAATCCTGCTCGATTACGGTTTTTTTGGCTGATTAGCTCGGGGAGTACTGGCACTCATCAGTGCATGAAAAGCACCATCATCTCGTAAATGCGATTAGCCCTCGGAAAAAGAAGCTATCCGCAGTGCTGGCACCCGGTGGTAAATAGCAGTGTCTCTGTTATTTCCATTTCTTTCAAAAACTGAAGTACAGAGGAAATTCTTACTTTTTGACTGGTAATGTTGCCAGTGTATAACAATTCTATCTCAGCCTTTATTCACCTTGTTCCTCTTCCCCTTCGTTTCACACCTTATAACTTTATCTTTCCTTGTCACTGTTGTTGGAGGAATGGGACAGATCAAGTTATTTTTTAAAATATCTTAAACGCCGTAGCGACGAGGTTCAGTTTTGGTACTAAAATGATTTGTACGTGATTTAATGCGCCGAAACATTTTGATATACTACAAACTAAATCGTTTCTTTCTCCCCTCCTTCAATCATTATCCATCTGCTAGCGAGCATTTCTTTTCAAATTCGGAAAAAATTCACAGTTCTAAGCATACCTTCCGAAGAATTTCGACGATAGGATTTTAGTAGCTGCGCGATGCGGCTACCAAAGTAAGATGCTGCGGCAACGGAGCCTAGCACATAGCCAAGCTGAAAAACTAATGCTTTTCCCAGAAATCTAACTGCAGTCAAAAAGTTGGATTTCAGAAACTGTGAAAGCAAACTTTTTGAACTTTTCACACTTTTCCGGTTATGCAAATTGCACTTTGTATTTATTGACGATTGCTTCGAGTCTGAAAAGTCAGTGTGGCCGTTCCTGCTGTCTGGTGGTCGGTCTGTTGCTAACTTTGAAACCACCTGAACTCCCCATCCCCTCCCCCGGCTTGCTTTTTTCACAGGAAGGGATCGGTGGTAATCATCACGGAGATTCGATGCTACTGATGGTACTGGAATGCACCAATTCAGAATGCGGTTATGCCGAGCTGTTCTGTGCTGAGCATCATGTCTCCGATTAGCACCTACCGCGTTTGCTTTGTTTGCATTTTGCTTTGCCAAAATCCCTCTCCCTGCGGGCATAAACGCCATTCAGTGATAAGCAATTCGAGCAACATATCCTGCCAATCGGATTTTGTTTTCTCAGGACAGTGACTTCTTGCGCGAAGAAGCTGATTGCTTGTGCAGTCACAAAAGGGTACTGTGGACATCTTTTGGGAATAAAGCAGTAGAGAGATTCGAAACAATACCATATCA